GGCACATAACAACAACAACACAGCAGGGCGTACATGAAGCACCGTCAGACAAAACCAGCATCATCGCTGTGAATGCATAACCATGACAACACTAACTGGAGCTTTTTACAAGGTCCAGAAAGTAAACAGCATCGATTTTCAGTCTTGCAGGTATACAGATACATGTAACTAAGGCTTACGGAAAATGTTTGTTGTTATCACCAACTGTTGTTATTAGAAGTCATCCAGTCAACTCCGACTACCAACAGATCCAAGCCTTGCCCAACCCTGTGCCACCTAGAGAAACTTTTGTAAGAAACAAACAAATACAATTCAGCTGAAATACTGCATCAAATTATTATAGTCAGTCATTTTGATGTCACCTCTGTAACAGTGTCAGTTTGAGTGGCCCATACGCCCTGTATCCACCAAGGGCACCGCCGGATGTGCTGTGTCTGGAGTGTTGGGAGTCGTTGTCATCGTTTCTCCAAGTTCATAGAGTTTTGGAGGCAACCATAGTGACACTGCTCACCCAGCATCAGCTTCAGCAAGGGCAGCACAGGTTACCTTATTGATCAACAGTGAACATTCCGCCACATCCAAGATTCTGCTTCTAGATCTGGCTGGCATCTGCTGCGCTCCCATCCCCACTGCTGCTCCTGACAGAGTCAAGTTCACAGTCCTTGACGGGTGCAGTGCCTCCCAGGAAGGCAGGCAGGCAGGGTTGACCTGTGTGTACTTCCTTGTGACACTGTTCACTACGTATCGCTGTAGCTGTGTACCTTCAAGCTTTAACTGACTCCCAGCTGGCCCTCCCGTGGGGTGTCAGAGGCAGTGACTTGCACTCAGGCACCTCCATAAAGTCAGTCCATGGCTGTGTACCTTCAAGCTGGAACTGACTCCCAGCTGGCCCTCCTGTGGGGTGTCAGAGGCAGTGACTTGCACTCAGGCACCTCCATCAAGTCAGTCTGTGAACATCCTATAGATCATGGTGGTTCACGCCTGTCACACACAGTAATACTGTGAGCTGGGGGGAAAGTCAGAGGCAGCTCACAACAACACAGCTTAGCAGAAGAGGTAACAGGCAGGAAGTCCTAGACATTAGCAATGAGCAAGTTCTTAGTGTTAGAAGGTGCTGAGGGCTTTAGAATAAACAAATGGAGAAGGTAGGAGGAGGGTCGGAGGGTGCTGATGGGGGAGTAGGGGGCAGTGCCAAAAGAGGATATTTTCCCAAAAAATAAACAAAGAGATTTCAGCTGAAACACTTCACCAACATTTTTTTAAATTTTATTAATTTTAACGAACATTTAGCAGTCAGGAAATCAAAAAGCGTATC